AGACCATAGCTTCTCATAGTTTTCTCTTAAAAAATCAGCAAATCAGTGTGGACTAATGTTTTTTGACCATTCAGATTTTTTTTCAGTCAATATTTTCCTTATTTTAATTGCCAACACAATGATTAAAAAAAACCCTAACAAATAACAGTCAAACCTGTTATGGGAGACTGCCACTTCTGCAAAAAAAGACCAGTCTCTCCAGATAGGTTGTCTCTCATAACAGATTTTTACAAAGAGACCAGTTTCCAAAGTCCACTTTCAGAACAAATTTAATAAAAATAACCTCAATCAATAAACATATTAAATTTTTTATTAATAGTTCTTGCTAAATTATTGTATGCATTTCGTCTGAAAACAAAATTATATAGCAATAAAGATTTACTTCGTCAATTAAACACGAACTCACAATTACATTTGAAGATCATATGTACATGCATTAGCATACAAAATCACTTCCGATTTACTCCCTTTTCCTTTATAACATCATTAATTAATTTGTTTTACTGATGCTTAAACCACTATTATGTGAGTGGCCTGCTCTTATTCACTTTTAGTTACAATAATTATTTTCTCCAGCATTAAAATTTGGCTCGTTTTATTTGGCGGTTTATCTATTATTATCATTATGTATCATCATTATTAGTGCTCAGTTGTACTAGGCTTTAGGAAAATAGGACAACTCTATACCTCTGCAGTGCATATCTAAGAATTAATGAAATAAAAAGAAACAGTTATCTCATCCAGAAATAGAATCATTTACTCTGAGATGAAAGTTTTCAGCTTAATTCAAAGAAGACAATTACAGGGATTAACTCTATAAACAAAGTGTGCAACCCAGTTGCTGCAACTTGAATAGAGGACAGCTTGGGGATGCAATCACTCACATCTGAGGAGAAAGAAACAAAACAATAAACATCACAAACCTTTAGCACTATCAGTCAAATCCTTCAAATGATTCTCACTTGCTGGTTTAATAGAAAAAAACCTTATTTACCCCCAGGCAATATGCATTAACTCTTAAAAACAAGCAATATATGCAACCACTGCATTAACCCTTTACATAATATAAGCCCCTTTTAGCAATTTACCCACTGTTACACCAAGCGCCTTTTGGCAACCTTGTAAAGAACAGCTATTTTGAGTGGGTTTTCATAGTGCCACCTTCTGGGAAAACCCCATTAGATATTACATTCATTGGTAAGAATGACCATTATGTCAGATCATATGGTCACTGTTGATGCTCTGGTTGCAATCTGCTATTTAAAGTAGGTCGTAACTGGGTTGTCTTCTCCAGTCGACAAAATGGTGGTCTCTGATATCGTTCAATACTTGGACCAGTAAAATCACAACTATGAAAGCTCCAATAACTTGGGGAAAGGCTCTGAGACTGAGTTAGAAAGCCCTTAGTTTTTCTAAGTTATCAAATTACACTGATTTTGTGATGTAGTTGCAGACAATCAATTTGTAAATTTTGAGTATGGAAATTTGCTGCTGCCATTAATCATGCGGCTTCACTGATTTGATACTGAACGAGTTCTCTCAAGATTTTAAAGTACACACAAAATTCTTTTGTTAAGAATAATTATACAGCTATAACGACCTTATTTTACTCTTAAATCTTTCTATACATGAAACGTGTACCAAAAATGTAAAATGGTTAAAATTGCTGTTAAAAGTAACATACACTTTACTGCTTAACAGGCCTATGCATAGCGGACTGCACTTTGTAACTTTGCTACATGCGTATCGAAGGGCTAAAAAGCCAGACACTATGAGGGGAATGAGTTAATTTGGGTACTACAATGGCAAATTTGTGTTATATATATATATTGTAATGGGTCACATTTTTCTGTTGATCTCTGTAAAGCACATTTAGCTGGACATGTGTACAATTAATTAGATTTATGGAGACCTGCCTGTGATAAATTGCCATTATTCATGAATCGATACTGTCACTGTCACAAGTTTAGTGATTAATAAGAGCTATGTTTGTTTAAACTGAACAGGTCTAGTCTCGGTTAATATCTGTAGCAGAGTTGTCAGATCTGAAATATTGCAAATTTGAAATCAGTCTACACTTTTCCTACAAGAAAACATAAATGCAAGGAGACTCCAAGTAATTTCAGAAGTAAATTCATTTGTAATATTATCCAGGGAAAAATGACCATCTGAAACTCAGCAGACATGATTCTGGAAGTAGGAACTTGAAAACACAAAGTAGTTGCAACAATCTTGTGCAATTCATTGACACTACTATGATAATTTGTTCATTTATTTGTTTGTATTTGCATGGATTTATTTGTTTAACCCTTTACCTCATACAAGCGCCTTTTGGCGCTCTACCGCAGACACTTTTGGCACTTTACCAGATTCGCATACAAGCGCCTTTTGGCAACTCTGTAAACAGCAGCCATTTTGAGCAAACTCGGTAAACAGCAGCCATTTTGAGCAAGTTTTCATAGTGCCACCTTGGAATCACAATTATGAACGCTTCAATAACTTGGGGAAAGGCTATGATACTGATGTAGGTAGCCATTAGTTTTTAAAAATTATCAAATTCAGATGATTTAGTGATGTAGACACTGGCAAAGAACTTGTAAATTTCGAGTATGAGAAATTGCCGCTATAGTTGATCACGCAGCTAGGCTGACTTGATAGTGAACAAGTTCTCTCAGGATTGTAAAGCACATACAAAATTCTTTTGTGAAAAATAATTATACAGCTATAATGACCATATTTTACTCTTAAACCTTTCCATACATAATATAAGTGTACCAAAAATGTACAATGGTTAAAATTGCTGTTAAACATAACATACACTTCACCGCTTAACAGGACAATGCTTAGCGCACTGCACTGGGTAACTTTGCTACATGAATTTCAAGGGATAAAAAGCCATACACCCTATATGAGGGAAAGAGTTCAATTAGTATGTCAGTTTTCTTGAGAAGAGTACAAGTATGTCAAGTTCATTTATCTAAATTCATACAATATTTTTTTATATACATTGGTGACTCGTTTGAATGAAGTCTGAATTATTATAGGAAATTATGTATCTAGAATTTTTGTCGAGTTCATTTATCTGAATTCATAATTTTTAATTTATATACATTAGTGAATCATGTGAATGCAGTCTTGATTGTTGTAGAAAATGTGTATCTAGAATTTCATGCCTTATTTTAGTGAGATGAATTCTCGGACTTTATATGAGGTCATGTATGACAACAACTTCATTTTGTGTATTTGTTATAAATGCCATAGTGTAAGGAATTTCATTCATTCATTTGTGCAATCCAGAAAAGATTGAACTAATATCTCGGTGGTGTGTTGAAAAAGCCATTAGCATAACCATTATTTTTGTGAAACTAGGTCTGTATGGTCTATCATGGCCAATTAGACTAGATAGCCATTGGTATCTGTTTGAATTCCAATAGAACTATATTTGACCTAATGAGAGGGGGGAAGTATTGATCTATTCCCCCAAGTATAATATTACAGAAGATATACGTTGCTTTTTTTTTGTTATTTTGGAAGGCAAGATAGCTCTATGGAAAGTATCCATGTGACATAACACGTATTTACAAAACTGAAATGACTACACAAAGTTATAAGGATGAAAGAGCTGAGACCTGAAAATTTGGGGAAAAAAGGGGAAAGTGGAGAAGACCCAGACTTACTGACACAAGAAAGTCAAAAGGACAGGCTAGTTGCCATGGAATTTGGACAGAATCAAAGCCATCAGGTTATGAAACTGTACAAGGTAGTATTTTTGGTCTCTCACTCATCATTTATGCCTACAAAGTTACTTAGTGATGAAAGGGTTAACAGAGTGGCTATTTGTATAATCACATTTGTATTTGAAATTCACTGAATAAGTTAATTCAAAAAGAAGTGCATCTTCCAATCATAATGAACCATCATAATCATTTATGAATTTTATTGTTATGGATTTCAATTAAATTTTGTCTTTATTTGTAATGGGGGCTCTTGTGTTATTCAGTTTTATATATCTGCCCAGATTTTTATTATTCCATCCACAAGTTTCACATTATATATTGATATTTACTCATTCTGGGCAAAGAAGGGAGGGTTATCTGACATATTAGCCTGGTTTATGGACTGTATCATCAATCCCTATATACAGAATTTTTTGTTTTCAGGGGGGGGTCTATTCATACCCATTTTTGATTTGAACAATCTTTACTATTCAAGCCATCATTATTACAAATGATTACATAAAGGTCAGTGGTGTCTCTGTTCTCACAATATGGCCAGCTGTTCTTAGAGTTGGATGTGGCCAGGAACCAGGCTATGTGCTGGAATACTCAACAGGTGCTTTCAGTTTTGGTTTACAAAGGAAAACATGAAAAACTAAAACCATACCTAAACAGCAACCAACCTCTTAATTTTTTCTTAGAATGTATAAGCAATCATTGGATTAGATAACGGTCATCAGAGTTCATCCCTGTTTTTGCAATTGCAGTCATTCATAGCAGGGTCAAAATGCATATCTGACCAAGACATTTGTGGTCACTGGATGCATTCAGGAGGTGGTCACTCATGACAGCATTTATATAATAAAATCAATCAGTACATTACAATTGTAAAATGCATATCTGACCAAGACATTTGTGGTCACTGGATGCATTCAGGAGGTGGTCACTCATGACAGCATTTATATAATAAAATCAATCAGTACATTACAATTGTAGTTGGAAATGACAGGTGGTTGCTCATATCAGAAGTTGTTCATCATGACAGTTTTTTCTGTACATAAAAATTTTCATACTATTATCAAATTAAATCTTGCAGATTAATAAAAGGAAACATAAATATTGCTGTATTCCATCATTCTTTTCAACAATGAAAACACAAATGAGTGGATCTTTTATATGGACAAGCAAACCTTTCACTTAAACATGGACAGTTTGATTTCAACAAAATTGCTGCACCCCTGAAAGTGTATCAAATTTCTGCCCATCACTTGCACTGATATGGAAGACCACTCCAGTGGCTTAGTGGTTAAAGCATCCACCTTAGATGTGGGAGGCCATGGGTTCAATCCCCAGCTGAGTTATACCAAAGACTTATAAAAATGATACTAACAGCTGCCTTGCTTAGCACTCAGCATTAAGAGGTTGGTATTGGGACTGTTGTCAGGATATTTCGTCTGGGTGGGACATCATACTACATGTCTGCTGCATTATGCCCCAGCACTAGACATCATAAACTGCTACACTGCAAACATCATAATGATTCGACTGAAAAATTGTTAAAGCTATGTTAAAAAATCAAAATCACACATGCACGCACACACACCAACAATGATATGGGCCTGTGGGCAAGTCATTCTGTAAACTTCAACCACAAATTGTAACATGCAGTGTGTAGATATGCAATTAAAAAACAATGTATCTATCATTTTGACTATAAATAGAATTAGAAGGCATTGGTCACTAATCTATAAACACAATTATCAAATTATCAACAAGCAAATTTCTAATCATGCATCATGCACAGGACTTGGCAATCAGGACTACCATTTTTGTCCATGTTGTTTATTAAATTATATTCACTTGTACAGTGGTTTATTATATGTACTTATTTATAAGACTCGGCCAACTGCAAATTGCACAGACCTAGATGAGAATTGCATAATGCACTGGGAGATCAAAGTCTGTGAAGTTTGTTAGGAATAATGACTAGAACAAACAGCATAGACCCTGATTTGCTGTGCATTATTCTACAGAACATCAGGATCTTTGTTGTTTACAATTTTACTCAACTTATAGGCATGTACATATGGTAGTTAACAAATTACATATTTAATTAGCTTCCAAGTGCATATATCCTTCAACAATGGCAAACCAGTCTATTATTGTAAACAAGGCCAATAAACTACACTTGACCTAAAAACCTCGATTCTGTGTTATCTGTTAATTTGTTTAGCAAAATAATTATAATTTATAAAAATGCATACAAACCACTACATTTTTTCAATTTTTTTAGCCAAGTAAAAATTGTTTCATTTCTTTATAAGAGTCAAATACTCAACATTTCACAAAGCAATCCTCAAGTGATCATCTTAAAATCATGACATAATCATCTATTTTATGTTGTCTCCCTTACTACCATTGAAAATATTGAAACTTTTTATGGAAATATGATTTGCATTAAAAATTATGACCTGAATTCGAGGCATTTTATATATGTTACCTTATATTGTATTTCATATACATTCTACTGAATTTTTAAATCCTTGCCTTTTCTCGTTAATACATCAATACTTCATGTTTATGTCTAATTGGAAGAGTTTATCAAAGTTGTTTTCTGCAGTTTTTTAGATCTACATTTTGAGAACTTTTGTTTAATTGGAGCCATATAGACATTACTGTGCTTTTAAACCCTATTGCACACATGCATACATACATACATGCATGCATGTATATATATATATATATATATATATATATATATATATATATATATATATATATTTGTTTGTGTAAACTTTCTTCTTCAATAATTGTTTTCCTAACAAAAGATGGAACTGTACAAATGTCAGGAACAGGTGTACAGACTTTGTTAATGTAGAAGAATAATCATCAGCCCTTCACATTATATCAGTTAATCCAAATACTCCATCCATATTCATAATAAATTTTCTCAGCTGGTTATCCTTGGCCTTGCTTAGTATGATGCATGCAGAGATGATGTACAGCTTCGTCTGCTTGTTGTTGTTGACTACATTTTGCAGATCACATCTTCAGATGATTCAGTATATCGGGTCTCACAACAAACTCGTGCTTTATTTCCTGCACCAAATTAATATGTACCAGATATACTCGCTTATAAATCCATATGCAAAAAAAGCATAGGCCCTGTCTGATGTTATTAATACACAGGCAGATCATCATCTATGGTTTTTTTTCTACTGATTTCTCCTAACAAACTGTATAGATCCAGATCTACCCATGCGTTATGCAATGGCACAGCTGGGTATTTGCAACTGTAGCCTATTTATAATCAAATATACACTGTACACTGTTCACACGTCTAATGTAAATTCAACTGCAAACCGCACAGATCTAGATTTAGCAGTAAATTATTCGATATTCAGCAATCGGTTCTAATCACTGTTTAATCAAAACATTATCAAAGCAACAGAAAGAATTCACTGGGAAAAAAAACTTGCCTTCATGTGTACAAAACATGTTATGATTTTTCTATGTGAAAAATGTTAACATTGATTGGGATTAAAAAAAACTACACAAATGTTAACAATTCCATGCAACTAGTTTTGCGTTTAATACAAGCTTCTTCAGGCACAAAATGTTTTGAAAGAAAATGATGTCTTTATATTTTAAAATAACAATTATGTCATTATGTAACATCATAAATGATATACATCATCATAACAATCATATATATGACAATCTAAAAGATACAGGAGTCTCTAATAAAACCCAACTCAATAAAATAATAAATAAAAAAGAGACACAGTCATACATATAATCATATTATTTTAAAGGATAGAAAATTTAATTTAAAAAAATATACAATTGTATATAGTGTATTGGTATTAAGTCCATTAGGATACAAAGTATCTAATTTATGAATCCAAAAAAGTTTCTTTTATGAGTCTAGTAACCCTTTCATCACTAAGTGACTTTGTAGGCATAGAGTCCTCAACACTAAGTAACTTTGGATTTGTAAAGCAAAATGACTTGTGGACTTTGAAACAACATAACTTTGCCAATGTTAAAGATATCTGGCTAGATTAGGTGTCAAAATCAAGGTTAAAAATGAAATTTTATGACTAATTTAATAAAATGTGCATATCTATTACAACTGTTAAAATGCAGGTACAAACAGGTAACAACAGGTAAATTACAATTATTTTATTACCTCTTAGAAAACTTAGAATGTTCTCAAAACTTGTTCTATTGACCCTAGATGTACTAGTGAATAATCACAGTAGCAACACAAGTCTTTCTTTCGTGATGTCCATAATATATAAAATTCTATAAAATGAACCAAAATGATCTCCAAGAAAAGATCTGTCCACACACCTAAGTGATCTATATCGCCTCTGCCACGTTTGATCGTTGCATTGAAGTTCGTTAAACGGACAATTTTTCCCAAAACTTCATCTGAATAGAATATTTGAAAATAATCCGAAGCTTCCTGGAGCCATATAACTCTCGGGTGTGCCCAATTCTGTCAGAAAACTGAAACAAATCTCTTTGGTTTTCCGGCTTCGTCCAAAATAAAAAACCATGTGGAGCGTACAATTCCTCTGGTTCAAAACCTTCAAAGTCCTCTTCATTGTCATCACTGTCACCTACAAGTGCATTCCATTGTCTCTCCATACGTCTTCTCTCATTGTCAAACAAATTTATCAGGTCCAAATTATTTAAATCCTCCAAAAACTCTCCTCTAAAAAAATCCTTCAAATGCCGCCATTTTGGATACAAATTTCAGCATTCGGAAAACACGTTAAAAGTTCCTACTTTGTTCGTTATTTCTAGTTGTATACAAGCTAAACTCACGAGATAATCCAAATATAACATCTACATTACCAGATGGAAGTTATTAGAGGTACCCCGAAAGATATTTAGTCAGGTACTATAACGTTAACAAAGAACACTGCCCTTAGACCGAAAACTCGGTCCATAGTGTTGACGGCTTACTTCCCCTGGACCGCATATGCGGTTTGCCGTAATGAAAGGGTTAATGTCTCCATGTACAATATCTATTGGCATGAAAGAAAAATCGAATAGTGATTACTGGTATTAAATGTGTTGAAATATTATGGGAAAACTGAGGATCTCTGCAATTTTTTTGTATCAAAGCAAAGATTATTCATTCTCTTTGACAGTTGTTGAAGTGTTCGTCCAATATATAGCATATTATATTTTTTACAGGCTACCAAATAAATCACATCAGTTGATACGCAGTTAGTGTTATAACAGAGAAAATATCTCTTTTGTATTATCGATACTGAAAGAAGTACTTTCTCTTGTGTCTGCACATTAAGATCACAGTGTCTATTACATTCAGATGACGAGAATTGTGTGCTCTCAATGTGCAAAACATAAGAGAAAGACAGATGAGGAAAAGCTGGACAAATTTTAAGAATGAAGACAAACAGTTGTGGAGTGGTTTGTGCAAGCAGTCAAATCGCTTCGAGACATGCCAGATCTGATCCAAATATCATTAAAAGTTTGTGGTATTAACAATAACTTGAATGGCTGTGAGGACAATATCATAAAAGATACTGATTGTGATAAAAATGGCAGCGCCGGTGAAGAGGATGAATTTGATGGATTTTAAACCTGAGGAGGTTGAGTGGACAATTAATAATGTGCACAGATTAAAGGATTTAAATTATATATATTAGCGGCATTCAAGTTTGCTCAATAGTACTTAGATTATGTCAGCTATGACTGCTGTGTAAATAAAATATGTTTGGTTTCGAAATTAGCATGTTTATCAATCACTTTGTATCTTCCATATTTATCTACCAGTAAGTTAGTCTCTCTCTCTCTCTCTCTCTCTCTCTCTCTCTCTTTTCTTACAATGTATAGTTTCCACTGTGCTCATCAAGTTGTTTTGCCAGAATAAAGCATGTAATGAGCACGACTGGCAAATAAACCTTGGCATTTAATTTAAAAAAAATTTGCTGAGGCATACATTGTAACATAAAAGTTGAACACCTTCTCATATACAAAACCTATTCATTCCTACCCAAGCTCTTGTTCTTAGCAAATCTGCAGCTAGGAAGAAAGTGTAAACACACAAAATGCACAGCATTTTTTTTTTTTTTTTAACAATTTCTTTAATAAAATTTGCATTCAAGTTCATTTTTAACATGCAATTTTGAAATGATTTTAATGGTGTCCTACAACACACGACTTGAAAAAAAATGCAGTGTTCTGGGCTCAAGAGCTCATTTAGATGCACATATTACTTAACCCTCTCATCACTAAGTAACTTTGTAGGCATAGAGTCCTCAACATGAAGTAACTTTGTAGGCATAAGAGTCCTCAACACTATGTAACTTTGTAGGCATAA